AAATTGCTCAAGGAATTTTTTTTGTTAGAGCACAAAAGGTGTTTTCTTATTCAAATTTTTGAGAAATGTGCAATTTTGATCTTTTAACATTTGTTTTGAATTTTCCTGATTATGCTACATTACACCAACTCATAGCTCATTATTGGTCAATTTGCCATCTATAGTCATGTAATGGTAGAATTTTTATGGTGATACTGGGATGAAAAGGTGATTGCTACCAACATCGCAACACGTGATTTATTTCCCTTATTGGCACCGTGATGATCGGCATGAGTATCCCAAATTTTGACCAATTAGATTTTAGAAGATATTCAGGGAACACATACTATATGTTATATATTCGGATATTTAGGATATTAAATAAATATCTGATTTTCCATTTTTGATGAAATCATAACTTTATCATACAAGTTTTGAAGTTAACATACATAAAAGGCAAAAACTTCACTTCTAAATTACTGGAATACATAAACAGGAAATGAACAGTTTTTTGGATCAAGATAGTCATAATTTTGAGAAAATAAAAGTCAAATTTGAGAATAATAAATTTTATAATAAAGATAGAATGAATTTAATGATGAAAGTGACAATAAATTTGGTAATAAAAATGAAAGTGAGATTGAGAAAGATGATAAAACTAGATTTAATAAAGGAGAGACTGTAGATATTTGTATGTTAATAGATTAAATAAATCAAAATGATATGGCATTTTTTTTTTTTTTAATATTTTATATAGTTATAAATTGGGATTATTATACTGATAATTTTTATTTCTTTTAATAGCTAATAAAATTAATGAAATGCTTGGACAAGATTATATTACAGCAAAAGATATTCTCAATACTGCACAGGAAATTGCTAAGTGTCTTGAATTTGTAGTAATAATCAAAAACAGTAGTTGTTGCCATTTACATCTTCAATGCAAATGTGGTAGTCAACCTCGTAATACCTCAAATTTGACAGTAGATATGCGCAAAAGATAAAGAATGAATAAACATTATGGATGTCAATTTCTTTTAAAGGCAGTACTATAAAATTCTAAATAGCATGTTACTGAAATAATAAATAAGCATAATTATCCTATGACCAAAAATAAAAGAATTTTCCATGAACATCATCAGTTAATGCAGAAAACAAGAAGTGCAGGTGTGCAAATGTTGAAAGCAGGAGCAAGCCCAAGTATGATCTATAAAGCTATTAGAGATGAGGATGGAAATCCAACTGCAATTCAAAAGGACATATCTAATTTAGGCTTACAAATCAACTTTCTAGAGGAGATTGTTTCAATAAAGGCACTGATAATCGGCTTAGAGAAAAGAGAATATATAATGCCGTGAAAAGTATAAAGGAAAGTATTTTTATTAGTTTATATTGCTACTATAAATATCTCTATATATTAATAATATAGTCTATTTATTTAGTGTAGATAGTTGTCTAAAGCATTTATTTTTCTATTATTCTAATTTAGTAACAAGTGCCAGATGCTTTCCAAAAATGGTTTTAATCGATGCCACTTATAAAACAAATGTTTACAAATTACTATTTGTAAATTTTGTTGGTATTGGTAATCTTGGTATAAATAAATTGCAAACATTTGGTATTGCTAACATCTGGATCTCTGATGAATCAGAGAATTCATATATTTGGGTTATTCAACAGCTCATTTCCCTTGTATTTTTTGAACTTTCTCCTTTGATGTTTGTTACAGATAATGATGCCACACTTACTAGTACTGTTAGAAAAATTTTTCCAAAAGCTGATTGTCTTTTATATACTTGGCATATTTTAAATAATTTTAAAAAAAATTTAAGAAAACATTTCGATGATAATTTATTTGATGAAATTATTAAAACTATGGATCATTTTATTAATGTAAGAGACTATGATGCATTCAATTTAACAATTACTGCCTATAAAAAATTGGCCTCATTGAGCTTAAATGAAGAAAATATAATAAAATATCTTGAGAGGTAAATAATTATTTATAAAGGAAATTCTATTTTTATCCAAGTTAAAGTAACCCAATATATAACTTTTATTATACTATATAACATTATTAAAATTCATCTATTCTAACTAATATAATAGAAATTATATATAGAATAACTTTAATCTAGATGAAAATAGAATTTCTCTATTTATAATATTTAGTTTTTTAATTTTATTGAAAGTAAAAATTAATTTCATATAACATATTATATTTTTAAAATAACTTTCTAAAGAATAATTAAAGTTAGAGAGAAATGAGTTTGTGTCTACACAAGCAAGATTATACACTTTGGTGCAACAACAATGCAACGAGTTGAAGGTGCACATTCAGCTATAAAGCATGCAATTAAGAGTTTGGGAAGTTTGATGAAAGCTTTTAATTCTTTAGACAGATGGTTGCATTTGCATCATAAAGAGAGCTCATTGCAATATGAAATTTAAAGTATAAATATTAACCCATTGTTAGCACAAGATGATAAATATTGATTAGGACCACATTTGGGAAAAGTATCTCAGTTTATACTAAATAGTATAACGAATGAATTTCTTAGCACCACTACATATAAAGCTTGCTTATGCGAACCATGTGTTAATTACAATATACCTTGTCATTATATGCTTTCAGCAAAAGGTCCTATTGCATTATCAAGTATTTCAAAAAGATGGCTGTTATTTCCTGATCAAGATCAATTAGATTCTTGTCATATAGTTCAAAATATAGCTTTAATTAATTCTGACAATTTTATTTCACTTAAGTCTAAGCTTTATATGGTTGAAACATGATATATAGGCTTTTTAGATAAACAGCAAAAGTCAGTTCTTCTAAACCAACTTGATGATATTTTGACAATTCCAGAAGTTAAACTTTTTGATATAAAAGTATTAGAAAGAATTATAGAAAAAGGCTGTTCTTCTGGAACCAAATGATTACTAACTGCATTGGAATGTATGGAACAGAAGAGAAAAAAAAGAAAGAAAATCAATAATAAAAATAAAAAAAATTCCAAGAATGTCAAGAAAGAACCAACCAAAAGTATTAGCTTTTCACAATGTATTTCAGAACTTCACATTGAAGGTAATATTAAAAAAAATTTTTTTTTTTATCAAAAAAAAAATAAATTATTTATATTTATATAGATCAAGCCTCAAAGATTTTGTTGAATTATCACATTCCTGCTGATGATATAGACCAAGTATATAATCTACTAAGCAATGTTAATTGTAAATTTTGTGCACTTGTCTTTGCTATTAGAGGAAATAAAGAAAATTGGGACCTCATCAAATTAGTAATGAATAATCAATTAAATAATTGAATGGAGATTTACAAAGATTGGTTAGGTTATAACATTGAATTGCTTAAAAAGATATTAGAGTCTCGAGCAACACCTTGTGAACCTTCACTTTGATTTCTGTTACCTGATTGCACTCAATTAGCTGCCAACACTTTTTCTGTTCCTATCACTATTTTTGATAAGAGAAATGAACAGAGTATGATGTTCTTTCTGTTAGAAATACTAACAGTACATCAAAGAAACCCAATTATTTTATATTTTATAAATAGAAATCATATTATATATGTAGGTATGAAAAGTTACATGAAGGTTAATTGGCCAATAGTTAACATTCAGCATATACCAATATGTTGCAAATATGGTCTCAAAGATCACTGATTAAACCTTTTCATGTAAACTTTCTTCGAGCTTATATCTTATATAGCAAACATGTGTACCATATAATCTGAATGTAATATGTATTTAGTGAATTATTAATTACTAAGATTGAGATACTAAGTGCATTTATAAAGAGTATATACATATGGTGCATGTATTTAGTAAGTTTGGCTATATAAAAATATACAGTATAAAGTAGATATAATATGAGTATTATGGTGGTTATTGTTATTATTATAGGCACTATGTTGAATTAAATAATATTTATATCATTTAATCTACTACAATATCATAGCTGGCATATCATATCTATAATACCTTAATGTTACATTGCAGTTTGATTTTATAGATTTGTGCTTTGCTTTTGCTTTATCTCTTAGAAACTAAAACATATTAAAATAAATTATTGCCACAATAATAAATAAAGTTTTTCATGATTACATATTATTTTATGCAATGGCATAATGATATATTAAATTTATTGCTTTTGAATTATCTTGTAATTTGATTGGTCAAAATTTGGGGTGCTCATGTTGATCATCACAGTGCCGATAGGGAAAATAAATCACGTGTTGCAGTGTCAGTAGCAATCCCTAACAAAAATTCTACAGACAGTGCTTAAAGCAGAACAAAATCACGTGAATAGTTAGTTATTGGTTAGGGTAAGAGGAATTTTAATAATATCACGTGAATTTGTTTTGTCCAGTTCTGTTCAGTTTTGTCCCTAAGCTCTGTTCATAGAATTTTCGATACTGAAGTAGTTAGTGATCATTAAAATATCACATAACAATCACCGACTAGATTAAAGTTAGTTTAGAATTATAATTATAGTTTAGACTAATCTATTTAATCTGGTAAACAAATAATGTCATGATGGTTCCTCCTATTATGGTAAAAATAGGTGTTCCCTAAAATAAATGCTAGTAAAAATTTTTAACAATGATCACTTAAAAGATTCATTAGTGAAAACTGTATTTTTACTATGGACATTACAAGATGAACCTTCAATATGATCTTTTTGGTTTCTTTTTATAGTATTTTTACACCCAAATTACTTTTTGTAAGTCTGTATAACTAATTTACTTTAGTGACGAATATGTCAGACTATTGATAACAAATACTATGTTTTTGTCTGAATAAAAAAAAATTAGGTAAATTTGCAGTTGCAAAAGAGGAAAAGGTTTAATATATGTGAAGATACAAGTAGTCACATAAAAAATTTATTATTTTTGTATAAAGACATGATTACTTTTTATTTATTTTTTGAATTGTTAAACTGATCATATAGATGCCAAATATTTTAAAACACATTCTTAAAAAAATCAATTTATTTTTTATTTTTATTTGTTTAAAAATGGTTTAATATGTTTTTAATGCACATTTGTAATCTGTAATAAGTTAAACTACTGATTTTAATCACCATCTGACTATGCCTTCCATAGCTGATCTAAATCATGATGAAAAAGCTATTGTATTTAGTGATTTGAAAAGACTTATTATTACGAAATTAAAGTTAAATATATAAAAAATGATTTGATTATATTTAGTTACTTTTTATTTTTTTGATTTTATAAATTGATTTATTTTATCAAACATAAAAATGTACAAATTAAAAATTAAAGTGCAGGTTATGCAAATTTGGATATTTTAAAAAAAAACTTATATAAAATGAAATTAAGAAATGAAAAAGAATAACATTTCCAGCATCACTTCATTTTTAGTTATTAGATAATTCAAAAATCAGTATAATGTAGTATGTAAAAATAAGCATAGCGAACATCAAATCTGATTGGTTAGCTGATCAGATGTAATACAAATATGATCTACATATTAGCATAACATTTCGCAACCACAAAAATGAATTTACAGCCCTCTATACGAATTCACAAAGGTTAGACAAAAAAATTTATATAGTTTACATATTATTCTATAAGCTGTCAAAGTAATTTGGCAATCCACAAAGTAATTTAGAAGTTAGTTAAGAAGAGTTTTTTTCTTAATTCATTTTCTAAGTGATCTACTAAGATAGGAAATAGACATAAAATGATCACACAAAAACTCTACAGTAAAGAAAACCTCTCTTTCAAGTAAAAAAAAAATGAAAAAGAAAGGCTTAGCACTGTGATCTGGAGGGTCAAGATGATGTTATCTGTGATTACAAACAGTTTGCTATATTTCTTGTTTCTGATTGAGTAACAATATTAAGTTTAAGTCAATATCTGAACTTAGTTGGTAATGTGCTTTGTTGAAAACATTATAATTGGTTAATAATTAAAATAAAGAAAACAAAAACTAACTGTTCTTATTCCAAACATGATTTATATAGATCTACAGCTAGGAACAAGAAAGAAGGAAAGTTTAAAAAAACTCCCAAATGGCTGATGAAATTTTTTGACTTGCTACTGGAGACCAAAATGTGTAACTATTGCTTGTATAAAAGTGAAAAAGATTCTAAATATATTAATACATTAAGTTATCTGCAAGTTGAAAAGAAAATTTTAAATAAAAATTTAAGATAGTTTAAAAGCAAGTCATATGTTTTACATAGAGACATTATTTATTCTAAGACTAAATTTCAAAAACTGAAAGTTGTATATAATGAAGTATGTGCAGAGCTTGATAAAATAAAACTGGATAAGGATAATTAATCTGAAAAACTCTTTCTGCAAATTCATTGCACAAAAATTAACTAAAAAAACCATCCGTATAAAAATCCTTATAACTTTTAATTCTACTAAGAAAATCGGTCCTGGTATTTTAAGTAAACTTGTTCAGCTCAGTGGTTTACATATACTCTAAAATTATTATAGATCTAGTTCTTAAACTCATAGAGAAAACTATACTGACGGCCTTTGGCCTTCAATTTTAAAAAATTAACTCTCTTGCAGTTTCTACTGCAATAACTTGTCTTATACCTTTAATTAAAGTTGTAGTACACACTTGTCTGATCAAAACAAGCTCTAAAAGAAGAATTTTGACTCAATATTGACAGAATTACAGCTAAACTCATCTTTTACTCTCTTGTAAAATCTTTTTTTTATCTTTTGTTCCTATACTATCACCTTTTTCTCTTACATGGATTTCATGTAACCATACTATTATTTCCCAATATATATTTTATTAATTTATATCAGAATTTTGTAACCCATCTATTAATAGAAATTTATTGAACACAATTATCTATTTCCATATTTGGTTCTTATCAATTTTATACAACAATTTGTGTTGTAAACTTTAATTGTACCAGTACCTGAGTCATATTTGTGACCCTAATCATTCTAGTCACACACCAGTGTTACTTCTGTAATACTTCAATTATACAACCCTTGTTCTTATCTATTACCCTTATAAAATCAACTACTCAACTATTAGAAATCTTTCTAAGTTTCTAATATAATACTTATTCAATTTATAACAAATTTAAAAAATGCCTACATTAAGTAACCAAGAGCCTGATACTGCAGACCTTGATTTCTTCTACTAAAACTTCTATAACAGTTTTGGAATTGCCCTTTATGAAGAAGAAAATGGCAACAACGTTCATCCAATTCCTCCTAAAGTCTAACCAACTTCTTGTCTAATTAAAAATCTTAGAAATAACAAAATTACCTACTTTTTTTAAGCTCTCACTTCCACCTCTGTGATTACTTGTCTCTGTGACAAATATCACACCAAATTTATCTCAACTTCTAACACTAACTATACTCAAGCTACTGAATTTACTACAGTTCATGTTAACAGTAATATAAAAAAGAATCTTAACAAACCAGCTCAACAACTCCTAACTAATCTTTCCACTTCAATCGACAATATCCCTCTATTTTCTACTCCTGATATACATTATCATACTTGTCCCAAATGTTCTCTTCCTATTAGTTGTACCAAGAGAAATGACCAGCACTATTCTAATGAAAAATATGTCACTAAAAATAACGAAGTCTACTATTTTAACTGCATGATTGCCTCATCTTAACATGAAGCTAGCTTATCTCAAACTAAGAAAAATCTTACTCAAACCTTCCAAAACATCCTACATGAATCTTCTTAAACCACCAATTCTTTTACTACCTCTTTCTATCAAACATCAACTTCTTCTGATCTTATTGACTCCTTCTTTACCACAACTACTAACACCAACCCCATCTCTAACCAACCACCTACTACTAATATTTCTGATAATGCTAACTTAAATCTTAATAATTCTAACAATACTAACCCACCTGACAGTAGTACTAACAAACCTTCTTCCCAAACCTA